CATACAAACCTTTCTGGAGGAAAAATGTAAATTTGTACACAAAATTAAAGACTCCTTAATAAGACAACCAAATGACAAGGAATCTTATTTTTACTCTGAGCTTTGATTCTAACTGTAAAGTGATCAATAAATGCCTAGAAAATTTTAGGATTTCATAGCATGAAGCTTCGCACCTAACTGGAATATGCAGTACCTTGATCACCTTACTAAATCGTTATGTGAGGAAAAAAAATAGAAATGTACCATTGATCATTTTAAGCATTGCACTGTACTGTAAAGTGATCAATCAATGCCTAACAGAAAGGATTCCTCAACATCAAGTTTCGCACCTAACTGGCATATACCTTGATCACTTACTATGTACATGTACATGTAGCAGCCAAACATTCTATTAAAAATTTGTGGAAAAATATAGAAACTTGAAATATTATCGGAACTGATTTGCAGTTGAGGTCAAAAGATGCAGCTGACAAAACAAAATTGTCTTTCTTCAGCTATGTCCGTGGAAACTCGTGAAGTTGCTGATTTATTTATTACTTATTTACAAACTGTTATCTGCAAAACTGGTTTGATGTTAAACTAGTCTGAAATTGTTGTAATTCACTCTATCAGTTTTAATGTAGCAGTGGTAACATCAACACTGTATACTGCCTACAAGTTCCCAGTCACGCATAAACATACAAAACTTTCTAGAGGAAACATGTAAATTTGTACACAAATGACCCCCACATGCATCTGTATATCTTGACAAGAAAACCAAATGACGATGAACCTTATTTTTATTCAAAGCTTCATGTCTACTGTATAAAAGTGATCAATCAATGCCTAGAATTAGGATTCCTCAGCATCAAAGCTTCGCACCTAACTGGAATATACCTTGATCACCTTACCAAATCGTTATTTGAGGAAAAAAAAATAGAAATGTACCATTGATCATTTTTCATAAGCATTACACTGTACTGTAAAGTGATCAATCAATGCCTAACAGAAAGGATTCCTCAGCATAAAGCTTCGCACCTAACTGGAATATACCTTGATCACTTACTATGTACATGTAAATGTAGCAGCCAAACATTCTATTAAAAATTTGTGGAAAAATAAAGAAACTTGAAATATATTATTGGAACTGATTTGAAGGCTAGTTGAGGTCAAAAGATGCAGCTGAGTAAACAAAATTGCCTTTCTTCAACTATGTCCAGGGCATGGAAACTCACGAAATTTGCTGATCTATTTAGCACTTAAGTACAAACTGTTATCTGCAAAACTTGTTTGATTCCAAAATAGTCTGGAATTGTTGTGTATTAAAATTCATTCAATCAGTTTTAGATAATGTAGCACTGCACATGACAAACCTTTTAAACGGCGATGTAATCCTTCGATCCTTTACGAAACAAATGAGACAAAACATGGCAATTATCTTGATAAGAATCTTCTATCTACGATCTATCTCTCGCTTGGAGTAAAATCGCCGAGTTTAGCGAAAATCAAACTGAAATTCGCTTAAAATATTGAGCGTCCGTTGACCTGACCGTTGAATTAAATGGAAGCCCGCCTAAACATTTCAAACATGCGCGCGCAGTTTGGTAGTGTGCAAGGATTTATGGGAGTAGGATTTATGGGCGTACAGAGTTAAAAGACTTATGCCAGGTAAGAAATGCATAAAGATATAAAGAGGAGTACTGCGCCGTAGATTAGGTACACCCAGAAACTGTTTTATTACTCTCACGTCGTTATGTTCATTTACTAAAAAGTACTCGTTAAAAGTGTATGCCAGTTTATTTAAAAGTCCTCGCTTCAGCATGATCTTTCCTCGAAAACCTGAAGCCTGTCCATTGTTATCTGTTAATTTTCTCTGATTCCATCCTCGTCCATTCAAGGCGAGATAACGCTATAAAGAGGATTATGATATCCAAGGTCCATTCCGTGCCTCGAAAACAAGGGAGACGGTTGGCGGGTATAGACTTTGTCCATTTTGGTATGGAATCATTGTTTGCGTGAGAGCTACGGGTGTGTATGAACGTATTTGTCGTTTCAATTCCAAATGAGAAGGAAATATAAATAATTATGCGAATTCTTTTTCGTTGCTGTTCTAAATTAATCTAAGTAATTATGACAAGCATAATTTCTTCGAGGCAAGCTCTGAAAACTGGTATGGATTTTAGAGGCCAAGTCTGAATACGCGTGTAAAAAATGACGTGATTTGGTTTGAAATAGAGTCAGGATTTTGAGGACCGGGTGGCACATCCCCACCAAGAATTCCTAGGAGTACCCCACCTCGAGTTATCTAAGATCCCGCGTCGTCTTTGTCTCTGCTAATTACAATTCATCTTTTTTTCCCCAACAACTTTAGCGATCTATGCTGGGTTTCCCGGGTATTCCAGGATCAAATGGTATACCTGGAGTGCCGGGAGTGCCGGGCGTCCCTGGGCCACACCGACCCCAGGGAAGAGAAGATGTAAAAGGACAAATTGGTGATAAAGGATCACATGGAATGCCGGGTCCAAGAGGAGACAGAGGGCGCGAAGGACCCCCTGGGAAGAGTGGACCCGAGGAATTCAGGGATTGAAAGGTCAACAGGGACTTTTGGGAATGAAAGGAGAGCGAGGCATTGTGGGAAATCAAGGAAGAAAAGGAGACAAAGTAGAGAAAGGAGAAAGCGCCAAAGCAAGTCAAGCAAGTGTAGTACCACAAACCAACTGGAAACAATGTGTGTGGTAATCGCAGAGCGGTGCTAAAAGCGGAAAAGTCGAATTCAGAGTGAGCTGTCGTCGAAAAAAGTGGGGTTCATACAACTGACTCTCAAGATAGTGTTTCCACGGGTTTAGTTATGTCGTAGTCATTAAATGTACGGAACTAAAGTGGAATAACTCAAGAAACAGTATTAACTAAAATAAAGAAAGGAAATAAACAAGCCAAAGACAGACGCGCGACCGGAGCGATAACAAACCGCGCTGTCGCTCTGTTCTTGATAGCGACATTTTTCATTGAGTTCCTTAACAACATTCTAATTGCCAACAAAAGCCGAGAGTGTTATCAGATAAAAGACTCACTTGTGGATTCCCAGGGCGTCTCTTCTTTACAATCATACAAGCAGCTATATACACAGCGTCAGTGAAAGTTCGGCGTAAAGCGGTAAGATTCTTTCGTTCTCTGGAAGGTCTGGTCACGCCAGCACGAGCATTCCGCAACTGACTTATTGCCCTTGCGGTCATCAAAGTATGTACTGATTAACTTCAAACTTTTCTTTACCTTTCAAAATTAAATACCTTTGACTTAGTATGGAGTAAAAAAGATTAGATCAAGGTTTGGAATGTGATAATCACGTCCAACAGGCTGTAACGCCTCCTAATAAAGATACGTTTTGAAATTCTTCCAAAGATTTATTGAGAGATTTGAATGGGTACGTTAATGAGAATAAAGAAGCTCATCAACTATGCAAATAAGCCTCTTCCCACGCCCTGACATAACAAGCAGCCTGCGGAAGAGGCCATCAATATTTTGTCACAAACCGGAAGTAGTCTGTGAATCATCTTATACCAAAGTATATGGTAAAAAAAAAAAAATAATAGAAAATTAGATATAAGAGACTAAAGATTTGAGAACTGCTATTCATAGATGTATATATTTTTTTTATTTCTCCATTTTTTTGTACTAATCTATACAGCTGTTGAAATGAATAAAAATATGATCAAAACTAGAAAATACAAAAATACGAGTCAAAAGTTGTTGAACGGGGAAAACTGATCAAGGCGTGGGGGAAACTGAAGGTTCAAGGTTTGACGTTCTGAAAGGCATAAGGCACAACTTTTTGTTGGATAATAAATGCCCTTATTCTGTCTTCGACACTGTTGAAATCTCAAAATCATTGCGGGGTCACTGTCCTCTACCGTGTTTCTATAGGGTTCTATAAAAGACACAAAAAAGGGTCTCTATTAAAAATTTGCTTTTTCAAGGGGTCTTTCAAAACATGCTTCAACCGGCTCATGCCACAGACAACTGAATGAATCGATGTTCTATTTGATGACTCTTTGTGCCTCGTGTTTGCAATGGGGTTGGGATCATTGTCGCTAAAAATTGAATCGAGTCGCTCTTAACGGTGCCAATCTGGGACAGAAAGACCTTTGCAACGGAACGAGACAGGAAACGTCCGCACGCAGGCTATGCATGCCCCTTGGGCCGAAATTCCCCATCCTTGGTAAATTACTCATACATTAGGCTAGATAACCAGCGGCAGGTCCAGAGGGGTCGGAGGGTTCCGGACGCCCCTAAATATATCCGTCAGACCCGATGATTTTTGTAGTTAAAATACTGAGCTGACTGCTATGAAATTGAAATAACTCCCGAAACACTGACTAGTCCTGACCTCTGAAGCCGCGCTCTTCCAAAGTGCGCAAAAGCTGATAACGGCTGCCGGAAAGAATTCTTATGGAAGTCTTACGTAGTGCATTAACCATGGACAGTCAGCAACATTTTTCTCTAAATAACTGTTCAAAAGAGCAAATTTTACCGAGAGATATCGAGTAAGACACAGTAATGCTCAAAAATTCTAGATAACCGTACCATTCGTCAAGATATTCGGACTTTTCAACTAACATCAGGAGCCCCTTTAATTGATGGGCTCCTTCTAACATACAGTAAGGCTGTTTGATTTAGAAGAGTGTGTTTTTTTTCTTTTTTTAATCTTTTTTGGCTTTGTTTTTGTTTCTGTTTTATTTTACCCTTTTTTTTTTTGTTTGTTTCCTCGTGTTGATGGTAAGTACCCGATAGTCCCCCCACGCGCCCCTCCGCGGCCCTCCGACCAGGGAAACAGGAATACCACTTCACAGTTATTTGAGCTGCGGAGTGCTGGGTATTCTGTTCAAATAGGACTAGGGAAACTGGGGAGAGCTAACTGAGAGCAGAATCACTTTCCGCAGATTTTGTAGTGTAGAAATCATTGAATGATGGTTTAAAACTTGCTTTTCGCTGATTTTGCTGGTACAATATAGCTGTAAAACGCTATGGCTTTGAAAATTGATATTCATAATCATATTTTACCGGAAAGATGGCCAGATCTAAAGGAGGTAAGAGCAAAGTAAGATGAACTACTGACCCCGATGTTGGCTTCATGCATACCTTGTTTACCGTGTCCGTACCAAAAGATCATTTTAAACGGTCAATGGCCGTATTTATACTAGAAGACGTCTTAGACGTTAAGACGCATTAAACGTCTGACTGTTAAGCGTGTCGTTAAGTGCGTCCCGTTTTTATACTAGACGACCTAAACTTCTGAGACGACTAATTCATCTGTTAAGTGCATCGATCGGACGCACTTAAGGCCCGTTTCAAACGTCGTGCTACTGCCGTGCCGAACTCAATTGCTCGAATTAAATTCGACTTAAGCACGGCAGTAGCGCGACGTTTGAAACCAAGTCGTGCTACTGCCGTGTAGCACGGCAAGGCTTGCCGTGTTACACGGCAGTAGCTCGACTTGGTTTCAAATGTCGTGCTACCGCCGTGCCTAACTCAATTCATAAATTATAAATACATTAGAATACACTTAAAAGTTTGCTAAACCGTTTCTATATTTTTTTGTTTTGTTTTCGGCAGCAGCCGTTTTATTCGTCTGAAACCAAGTCGTGCTAGTGTCGTGCTGCAGCAGGGGCGGATCCAGGGGGAGGGTGCAGGGGGTGCACACCCCCCTGGGATGACCTGCGGCCACTTTCTAATTAACACTGTGCAGTCGCTTGACAGACATACAAAATCTGCTGTATCGTTTGATATGTATTCTCAGCAGTTCACATTACGTTATTTCCTAGTCAAAAGCCATCTTTTTCGTATTCGCTTTTAAAATTTTTTACATCATCGGTCAGTTAGTGGTGCACCCCCTCCTAAGAAAAATCCTGGATCCGCCCCTGTGCAGTCGAGCCAGCTTGGCACGGCAGTAGCACAACGTGTGAAACAGGCCTAACTTCAGATGTTTTATTCGTCAGACGTTTAATGCGTTTGCCTTATTTCCCGTATTAATACTACACGTCTAAGTCGTCTAAGACATCTTAGACGTACTCTAGTATAAATACGGCTAATTAACATCTAGTTTCTTACATCGTAAGGTAATTGCCAACGAGCAAGCCAAGCAAGGACGGTCGGCTTGCGAGGCGGCCAGCTTAATGCCACGCAAAGTTTTGCAGGCGGCAGAAAAATTCTCGATCGTGGGGGTGAAAAGTGTAATGTAAGTGTAATGTAAGGTGTAGATTCCCTGGAGATTTTAGTGGCGTTATATTTCACATGTAGTTTCACGTGACTTTTGATGACCTGGAAATTCTTGCCTCAGCAGCTGAAATGGTTTTATAAACATTGGAACTAAAAGCAGTTATGTAGGCAAATTCCTTTTCTTTCGTTGGCACTTAATAGCAAAAGCTATGTACAACTAGTTTTGTAAATAGTCCTTTCTCTGTAATTGCTCCTGCTGATTTTCTCTTCTGCTAGGTGTTCAGCACCTAGCTGAACACCTAGCTCATTTCATTGAAAGCATGCGGAATATGATCATCCGGGAGAGACGGATTACATGTTGGAGTCCTCATAGTCGTAATGCATCAGTCAATTCCACCTGCGCCCACGCCCCCAACTAGAATCATTCTTGTTTAGTTATATTTGGATAGAAAACCACATGCATGTCAAAAGCTTGGGGGCTGCTGCAGGGTTGGCAAATGCCCGAACCCCCGGGCCACACAAAATTTGCTAATGCCCTACCCCTGGGACTCTCAAGACGAGCAAATACCCCTCAGTGGTGCAGTAGCCCTGATAAGGGAGGGGTGATGGGCATACATGTGACTAGAATTGATTGATGCATAACTGACAGACAGCCAATAAAATCGCAACTTAATAGACCAACCAGAGTTCAATGCCATCAATTGGCACAAAACAACTCACTTTGACTCTGAAGATGACTACTCCACTGCTTGTCGAAATGTTAGTCACTGTCGACAACAGTGCTCTTCAGGAATACACTCACCTTGATGATCATTTTTATTATTCCACCTTATTATTTACAATGCTATTTGCTTGTTTGTTGGTTGACACACTTAGTGCCCACAGCCACAAAATACTTGATGTACTCACACTTATTAATTTTCCCTGTAAAGCACAGAGAGAATTCCTGTCAATTTTGAGGGTTTTTTAATACATCCAGTCTATTCAGCAGTATGTCCTTCTTACCAGTGTTTTGTAGTGATGTTCATCACGACAGAGCAAGAGAAAAATTTGCTTATCCACTTGTCCTTCGGACAAGCACTACATTAAATGTAGGTGTCCGAAACCCAAGTGTTCTCGTCCAAACAGTTTTGCTTGAAACTGGAAACTTAAAAAACAATTGGGCATTTAATGTTTTTAATCAACCACATTTTCAGCTTTGTAAATTGTTTTTGACTTAAAGCTTAATATAATATCAGGCACAATTTCAATTTTGAGCCTGGGAATTAGCTATGTCATAACAGGCCTGGTTACTATGGCCAGGTTCCTATGGAGCTCATAAAAGCAAATGAAATGGCCGCAGAATGGCGAAGTTATAAGGAATACTTAACCTTATTTTGTCAAGTATGAGGCTTGCTTTTATGAGTATAAGATGTATTTTAGTTCTACTGTAATTTGATGTTTCTGTATTTTTTCTGATTAAAAATGTACAAAGTTTGTCCTACAGACAAGTCATGTCAAAGGTTTACATGTCTGAAGTAAATTTCTACCTGTCGCGGACAATCAGACATAGATTTTGGCTCACCCTGTCACAAGATAATGGAAATGATAGCAGAGCCAGAAAATTGTGCTTGACAGTTTCAGTTTACATGTAAATAATAATAGTGACAAGTGCCTTCATGTGCATATAATGCTAAAAGGAGTTTTTTTATTTGCAGCGATATGGTTATGGAGGTTGGATACAACTTCATCATCACTGTAAAGTAAGCATTTAAACTTAAAAGTTTAAAATAATGGCTTGGTGCACGCTACTGGTGTACACAAGTGTAGCACAGTGCCTATGCATGATTCACGTTCAAGAAAAGGCAAGGTTTTTGTGCCAGAGCGCGGGAAAAAATAAACATACAAAGGCATGCAGTGTAGGCACTGTTAAGGCATGTTTTAAATATTGTTAAGGCACATTTTAGATACAGTTTGAGCATATTTTAGGCACTGTCAAAGGACTGTTGGGCAAAGAGCATAAATCTAGCCACAATTACTAGGAGGAAATGACTCAGACATTTGCTGTTTTTAAACCATTTGCCTCATAAGTGGGTTTTTTGTAGATATTTTTACAATCTGGTTATCTTTCTTTGTATTTTAGGGCAAAGCTAAGATGATGAAAGATGGGAAGCTTTTTCGTGAAATAGATGAGAACTGCTGGTCTCCGGAAGCACGAATCAAAGACATGGATGCGACAGGTCTGTGTATGTTATGGTAGAATGTTATTCCTACAGGTTTAACTTTTACTTCCCTTTGTTTTATACTCAAATATGTGAGTACAATTCATAGAAACCAGGGATAACATTAATTTTGAGCCATAATGTGTGTTTTATAATGTGAGTGTGGTAACATTATTTTTCATTGATGTTGCGAAAAGCTGGCTTTTAGCTACACTGTAATTTCACTGGCTGAAAAAGAGCTTAGCACCAGCTTGCAAAACAACGACATTTAGTAACTCTAAAGGTACTGTTGAGTTAAAAAGCTGGCTTAACTAATAAAAAAGCTTGCTCAGCTTTTTCTTAGGTTCAACCGTGAATGTTATTACAATGCATCTGTTAAAATGCTATGGTGTGATTGTGCGCAATTAATTGTTTTCTAACACATGCATAAACATTTAGTGGTGACAGTAATGCTCAAAGACAGGTTAAGGGACCTTGTGTGCAAGTAAGTTAGCACCATTTCCATGTGTTTGTGCATTATTTTATCATTGGTCATTAGGCAATTTGACCATAATCCAGTCTCACCTTTCAAAATTGTATCTAGTGACAGCTTGCAAAGTGGAGCACACGTATAATTATGTACATGCAACACATGTACACGGAGAAGAGTCCCCAACACTTCACAATTCGCCATTACCCAGGCACTTTGTGTTTGATTGTACCTCAGCATTAATGTGACTGCAGCCTTATTTAGATTGATTACTGACTAGGGAGTTTAAAATCTTTCCACTTTCAGGTGTTACTGTTCAAGTGGTCTCTACTGTTCCAGTGATGTTTAGCTACTGGGTATGCATGTGGAAAGAGCTTTGTTTTGAAATTTGCCATGCAATACATGTAGATCTATAGATAGATGGAATAACAGACACGATTCCTACGAGGAATCGATTGATCTATATCAAAAGCTTCATCTTTTTACGGCAACAGAGTTAAATTTGAGATAGGGAGTATAAATTATAGATATTGCTCGTGGTTTGTGGATAAAAACGAACTTAAAACTGAGAATTAACATAGCCAGCGAATTCGGCATGTTAGCGAACTCAAACAGATAGCTTTTCTATGTTTATACTTGTCAAAGGTTGCCCATCACGTTACCCGTCTTCCATATCCGCTTCGACAGAAAAATAATTCCAAGGGATGCCATAATACGGATGACCAAGCTGTTCAAATGGCCTGTTGTCTTTAACGAACGGGTGATGAAGTCGTCCGAACATTAATTTTGAATGCATTCTTGGCTATACTAGTCTTAACCTATGGAGGATCAAATTATGCTTTGCATTTCTTGTACATTCATGTTTTGATTGAAATAATTAGACATTGTTAATGTCCCTCTGATGTAATATATGGTGCAAGATTGATAAGGGCCTTAAAAAAATACCTTTACTCTGTAAGTACAGTATTCCAATCTTGAGCCTGGTTCTCATATGCCACCGATGCATCTGCAACATAGCTGCAGGTACTTCCTGGGATACTGCTCCAATATGAGAACAGAAGTGGCCAGCAACATTGGTCATCCTAGCCTTTACTGCCGGCATGCCTGCTTAGTTGACTCCAGTTCAACTTCGCAAGCATTCCAGCGGTAAAATACTGCTATGGCTCCAGTTGCCAGTGGCGCATGTTTTCATTCGTGCTAGAAGTAACCCACGGCCAGGTGGTACTGGAGGCATATATACGTCAGCGTCATATGAGAACCAGGCTTTACAGTGTCTTAGTTTTTAGGGCTCTCACCAATGTTGATATTCAAGGCTGTAAAAGTCTCATAAATGCGTCATTTTGTTTCATGTTATCAAGGCTAAGCCTGAAGATACACTGGATTTGTGCCGCATACTGAATGATGATCTTGCTAAAATTGTGAAGAAGTATCCTAAGAGATTTGTTGGACTTGGAACACTTCCGATGCAGGTTTGATTTGGAATTTAGTTACCATTTGCCATGCGTTATGTAAATCATTACAGTCATTCATTGATTGACACCCACTCTGTAAAAGTGCTCCTCACTTCCTTAAGTTGTTAATTTGTGTGCGCACGTGCATGTAAGAATCTGGTTTAAAAAGATCAAGAAGCTTGTTATGTTGTTCCAAATGCCCAAAGAAACAGGATGTGATTTTTTTCTGTTTGTTTCATTATTATTATTATTTAAATTATTATTTTTAGTTTTAATAAAGTAATCCCATTAGCTTACTTTTAAATATATATACTTAAAACTTGTTTGAAGTCTGGACAACTTACATCATGCTGTATAATAATAATAATATTATAATAATAACAAACTAACAAAATAAAAATATATAATTATTATATATTAATTTTTTATTTTGTAAGCAGTCAGTAGTGGGAAATATAATTAATTTTAATCTTGTTTTACAGGCACCAGAACTTGCAGTTCAAGAACTGACAAGATGTGTAAAGGTGATTGTTATTTAGAACTTATGAAGGCTGAGCCCTAAGGAAAATTTATTGGCAGCCCAGAAGCTATGATCATTGTTGAAATCCAGGCTGCCAGCACTGAGTTTGTGGGAAATCTAGAGGCTGCTGGGTTACCCAGATTGCTAGAGACTTTTCATGTGTGGTTGGCATGCAGCTTTATCACTTGTTCGACCTTTAGCCAAAAATGTGTTAACCTGGCCAACACTTAAGCATCCTGCTGCATGCATTAGAAAAAATCCTCTGGCAGTGCACCCAGGGTAGGTTGGACTAGTCCAGCCTAAACACAATCATTGTGAATCGAGACTGTTCTGCCAGATCGGTCTATTCCAAAGTAAACTGTACATTTGGGCAGGGCAGGGATTGTTTTTTTTTTTTTTAAAAAACGTTGAAACAAACCGACTTGTGTTTCACTATCAATATGACCACAATTCAGCTGGCCAGTTTTGACATTTGGTAATTAAGTGCCTTATATAGCACAGTAAAGAAATGCAAGTTAAAGTGGTTTGGGCATGTGTCAAGATCATCAGGGCCTGCCAAGACAATTTTACAAGGAACTTTGCAAGGAGGGAGAAAAAAGGGGCCGACCAAAGAAGCGTTGGGAGAATAATCTCTGAGTGGACAGGGTTGAAGTTTTGCAATGCCGTAAGAGAAGCTGAAAACAAAATCAAATGGAGGGAGAGGTTTGCTATGTCCGTGGCATGTCAACAGTCATTGACTTTGGGATAGGTGCAGGTGCAGGTGCAGATAGCATAATGCTTTGTCTCGACACCAGAAGTGAAAATTTAGTTAATTGCCAGGGGCAACTGGGTACTGCCAGAGTTGCAGCTTTACTGAATGTACACTACAATGTTTTCTCTAGCATAGTTTTGATTTTCGAAGTATCAGATTACTTTTGATAAATTTATTTTTGATATTAATAATATTAATTGTTGCTTATTATTAATAATAATTATTATTGATAACAATCATTACATTTATGTTATTAATATTGTTTTAATTTCTCTAATAAAATTATGACAGGAACTTGGTTTCCCAGGTGTTGAAATTGGTAGCCATATTAACAACTGGAATCTTGATGCTCCAGAACTAGATCCTGTGTTTGCTGTAAGTAATTTTTATTATCAGTGCATTCTGTCTCATGAAAATGTTAGTAATGTCTGCATTTAGTGTCAGAGCCGCCATATACCTTCATATACATCTGCATACATGTATGGTCTTATTTCACTTGCTCATGTGTACTGTGTAGCACCAGGGTGCAGAGAAAGTCAGTTTTACAGCCTGCCATTCGGGCAAGCTGTAGCTAGCATTTACTGGCCCACAAGTCATTTCAAATAGCCCCAAATAAAACCCTTTTTGATTAGCAGGATTGATTACAATCCTTCTGTAATATGATTTTCCCCAGAAAACAGCACACGACTTTCTTTGCACGCTGGTAGCTCATGTAGGTCTAAACAAGGCCAAGGGAGATGACATGAGAGTCCATGACAGCGTACCTTCATTATGTAGCAGGTTAATTTTCCTTTAATCTCATCTACATTGGCTCACACTTTCCTCAAAGAAAAGTGAGAATAATCTCGGTTTAAAAACTTTAACTTGAAATCAAATGTGACCTGTAACATAACCTGCACTCAGCCCACCTATTCTCCCCAACATCCTGAGTATGCTTCTACATTGCATTTTTCATCCAAAAATTGACCAATTTATTATATTATAAACAAAAATGTTGTCTATTACATGTAGGCTGCTGAGGAATTAGGCTGTGCTATCTTTGTTCATCCGTGGGATATGGAGTTAGGAGGAAGAATGTCCAAGTACTGGTTGCCTTGGCTTGTTGGTAAGTAAATATATTGTACCAGAAGCTTATAACCCTGAAGCATATAACTATGTTGCAATGCTGGAGGTTTTTAGGGGAACCATTCAAAATTTACTTCCTAAGGTACATCTTGAAGTGGATGGCTTGTTCAGTGGAAGATTTTGTCTGAATGAAACCCAATTTTACGGAATCTTCAACACAAGTTAAAATTTTAAAGGAGTCATTTCATATATCCTTTCTAATAGCCGTAAAACGAGTCACTGATGGAGAGAAGGGGGGTAAAATAAGCACACCGCCGGCATCAGGTTTGTCATTCTAATGAGCACTATTACCGACGTAAAGGGCCGTTACCTTGACCTTTGACCTCTCCAAAAATGATGTATATTATGCATGTTAGTATCAGGGTTTCAGGGGTTGTTGGTTGTTGCTTTTGCAGGAATGCCTGCTGAAACTGCACAGGCGATCTGTTGCATGATCTTTGGTGGTGTTCTGGAACGATATCCAAGACTCAAAGTGTGTTTTGCTCATGGAGGTATACATTAGTTTTATCAAGCACAACATGTTTTGCCTTATCACATGCTCATACATGTACATAACATTGTAACTCTTGTTACAGGCCTGTTTAGGCAAGGGAACCCAAATAGGTGAGGTAACTTGTGGCGGGTCACCCCACCTATCATGTAAACATGATCAAATTAAAATGAGAGATTACCCTTAGACAGGCGGGTTACCTCACCTAAGCGGGTTATTTCACCCACCTGGGGTCCCCCACCTCCATGTAAACAGGCCCTTAGTCTGCGTAGCCGGCGGAATCATTCACGCAACGTGCGGAGAATGCGAAGGAGACACATTTTTTTGCGGCTAAGCCGCGAGAATGGCGGCTTCGCGCCGCCAAAACTTGCACGCACCCAAAAACAGTAGACTTTTTAGCTTGTTTGTTTTGTTTTCCTATTTCAGACAACATAATGGAGCCCCAGAGAATTTTTTCTTTCAAATGTTGTTTTATGCACGTGAATCCACGTGCATATGTATCCTTGGAGAACATCACGTGGTCTGAATTAGGAAAACAAAGCATACAAGCTAAAAAGGTCTATTCCGCCAGCTACGCAGGCAAAACTCTTGTAGGACACTTAAAGAATATCTTCTATACAAAGTTACAATGGAGGTCAAAAGTGTTGGGACCTTTCCAGTGATATTACTAAAACTAGCGAACCCTCCCCTCCCACAGCAAACAAAGTTGAATTTGGAGCAAAATGGAAATGAGTGCTTTTTTCGGCCACAACATTGCTAGGGGAAGGTGGGGGGGACGACGGGATGAACCCAAAGCCGAGCAAAAAATTGTCCTTAGGAGCAGAGTCCTAGGGAACTATTGCTGGGAAGGGCTTTTTCACACAGTCCCAAGTTCTTTTGTCCTCCATTGTGGCTTTTTTTCCCCTTCAAATATATATATTTTTTTCTTTCTTTCTTTTTTTAATGTTTTCTTGCAGGAGGAGCATTTCCATTCACTATTGGTCGTATTGAACATGGCTTTAATGTCAGACCTGATCTCTGTGCTGTTGAGAATCCAATAAATCCAAGGTCAGTTCACTTGTAATACTCCTATATCGTAACTTTCCATCCTTTGTTAATCAATGACTTATGGCTGGACATGAACACTCGCCAAGTGATTGCAAGACATGGGAATAGTCAGAAATAATATTCATTCTTTGTTGTCTCCGTTCATGTTTTAGTTAATTTGTTGTCGTAGTGAATATAAATCCTTTATTGTAACTCGACCAATACCTCCCTTTGGAGAGTAACGCGCAAAAAAGATATACTACACTATAATATACTACACCACACTGAACTACACTAATTCTGCTGGGGAACATCGAGGCCCAAAAAAAATAACTATTTCATAATCGTCCAGCCTCGAAAAAGAGCCCACTTTCAAGGTCCAAAATTTTAATAAGGGGCGCTTAATCGAGTAAATACGGTATGTCCTAAACTCCTTGTTTGTCTTGTTTCGACTTCTTTTCTGCCTTCACCATTCTTTCGTCACTATCCTTGACATCTGCAAGGTGGATACCTCTTTTAAGAAGGACACTTCTCTACCATCCTTCAACCATTTTCTCTGACTCTTCACGTGGTGGTTATCCTCCAAAAAGGACACCTAGAGTTGGTCCCTTTTGTTCCTCAGTCACTGTCTATAAGGTGGCTATTTCTTTAAGCAGGACTCGTGGAGCTGTTCAGCCATTTTTCATGGCTCTCTGTTATCGGTCGTTTCGTTACAAGTTTATTCAGTCAAGTTGTAAATACTTTAACCTATTTGGCTTAAAGAACGAAGAATATTCACCCAATCTGTAACGCGCAAACTATGCTTAAAGTGTTCAAAATTTTTTTGCAGTTTCACTGCTTGAGTTCGTATCGAAACGACCGGTTACCCGCTCTTGAAGGTAGACACCCATCTAAGATGGTGACTGGTCATTTCGCCCACGAGTCGTTTCGCTAACGTCTCTGTCGCAAACGTCTTTAGTCGTTTCGCTTAAGGAAGTAAACAAGCACTTCACATGCATATACCTCGTTCTTTCAGCCATTACACGAAAAAGTGTGGAACACATGTACAGGTTGTTTCTTTAGCCACTGATCTGGCGAGAGCAGTTAGGAAACTGACCTAACACGTTTGCGAAACGACTTAAGAGTTAAGACGTTGGCGAACAGGACGTTTTCGAAACGACTCATCACGCCGAATTTTTTAAGAGCCGAACCTAATACATTGAATAAAGTACATGAAAGTTCGGCGTCATGAATCAATTAGGAACGCCTGTTTCAATTTGGAACGGCTTAGCCGTTCTTTTCGCCTATCCCGGCCGGGAATTTCGCCTTTGGTCGCGACTTTGGAACGGCTTTGATTCAGACGCATAAATTATTATAACGTATTTTGCAAGCAGTTTGACCAAAATGAGCACTTAGTTCAGCTGAAATTAAGATCGGCGTCTGAATCAAATCAGCTGGTTTAAATAATTTGGGTCGACCTTACAGTCAAACCAGGTCAAGCGTTCCCGTCGCTAACGAACTAATGAATTCATTCACGGAAAAATGATTTCGTTTGTTGATTCAATAATCCATTCATAAAATGAACAATCCAATAGTCATATTTAGCCTCGATTCAATAATCGAATGTTGATTCGATTACTGTTTTTTGAAAAATTACACTTTCCACAAGTTGACCTCAGAATTTTGTTTTTTCCTCTTTTTGTTCTGAGAGTCGAGTGCTGGCGAGTTCTGAAGTTCAAACCAAACAAACTGTTACATGTACGCCAGTTTGCTGCCAATAATCAGTGCAACAGACCTAGGCCTGACCTCTTAGAAAACACGACGGTCAAACTGAGGTCGGTGTATGTGCGGTGATTGGTGGATTTCGATCCTCGGCCTTTGTCAGTTTCTTTGCGTTTGCGGTTTGTCTATTCTAGCTGTTATTTTGATTAAAGGCAATGAAAAACGCAATCGTAAACGGCAGGAAAAGGGAAGCAAACACGATTGAACACAACAGACAAGAATAAAGAACAGGTAGATTTTGTTCATAAACCAAATCAACATTTGATTATTGAATCGAGGTACAATTTGACCGTTGGATTATTCATTTTATGAATGGATTATTGAATCAACAAACGAAATCATTTTGCCATTAATGAATTCATTAGTTTGTTAGCGACGGGAACGCTTGACCTGGTTTGACTGTAATTCGAGTTAGGTTCGGCTCATGAAAAGTTCGGCGTCTGAGCCGGGCCTAAGACCGCCCCTTTTGTCGCATCCAACAGTCTCTGTGCGAGTTTGCTGTGTACTGTAGCAGTGTTTAATTGATTTTGTTAGGTGTATTCTTTATAATCTCACAATACTTTCTAGACTACAAACAGAACCTTAAAATAATGAATCATTCGTTATAATATTGAATGTTTCAGAAAGTACATTTGTCAAATATATACAGATAGTCTTGTCCATGATGAAAAAGCTCTTAAATTACTGGTTGACACCATTGGTCAGGTAAAGAGTTCAGTGACTTTTGGTTATGATCTATTTAATAAACTGTGAAATTTATGCAAGCAAAAATTAACAAGACGTGTACTTAAAGGGGTTTATGTCACGCTATTTGCTATCGTTTGTCTTTGCATCAACTGAATTCTAAAAGTGACGGTCCAGGTTTGTTATTTCAGACTACATATAGGCATGGAAACCGTTTCCTGTGGTCTGTTTCTACGAACGGCAAGGCTGTACGTGGATTAAAACTTAGTTTTGATGTTGCCTGCGTAGCAAGCCTTTCCGTAGCAAGCGTTTCGTTTCCACCCCGACAGTGATTTAGTTCTTCTTTTGCGTAGGTTTTTACTAACAAGGTGAAGTTTTAGTAAGCCATGATGAGATTGTGACTAGTTGTGTTGATCAAGAATGAGCTGACGTGTGCAAGTCTGAGTCACCATTAAAGTTGTGTTTTCAACAATCTTCGTTTGTGTGCAAAGCGCGCTTGTCCCCTGTACAGACATAAAATTGAAAAAAATAATAGTAATAAACCTTCAAGCTCTCAATTTTCTCATTGCAGCAAGCGTGGGCTCATTATCCTGCATGTGTATTTTTATTATTTTTTTTTTTTTGTAGGAGAATGTTATTTTAGGCAGTGACTACCCGTTTCCTCTCGGAGAACATCATCCAGGAAAACTCATCGAGGATGTGTACAAAGACGACCTGGAACTTAGAGTAAGAAAACAATCACATTCAGTTTCACGGTTTTTTTTTTTTTTTTTTTTTGGCCATTGGAGATATGTCCAGGATCGATCTTGTTAGCAAAAATTTGCTAGCAATTTTTCTTCGCAATTGTCGCAAAAGAAATGACTGAGAAAAAATTATGTCAGAAAATCACTTACAAATATCGCAAAAATCGCAAGAATAACAAATCTAACAAGAATCAAGACTTGGAAACAAAAGAAGCCAAGAAGAACCCCGAAATGTCCGCAAAAATCGCAAAAGTAACAAGGATATTTTTTGCTCGCTGAAAACGCTCGGCTTCTTTTCTTTCTAAGTCTGGAATTTTGTTACATTTGTTATATTTGTTTGCGATATTTGTCATGCGTGTTTTTAGCTAGCATGAAAAATCCTTGTTACTTTTGCGATTTTTGCGATATTCGCGGACGTTTCGGGGCCCTTCCTGGCTTCTTCTCTTTCTAAGTCTTGATTATTGTTAGATTTGTTATTTTTGCTATTTCTGCTACATTTGTTACTCAATCTTTTCACTTAGCAAGGAAAATTCCCGTTACTTTTGCGATTTTTGAGAAATTTGCAGACTTCACGAAGCCCTTCTTGGACTTTTCTCTTTGTAAAAGTAGAATTTTGAAAAATTTGTTTTTCCTGCTATTTTTGCCATATTTGTTACTCAATCTTTTCACATAGCATAAAAGTTCTTCTTACTTTTGCGACATTTGCTATTTCTTCTATACTTTTCTGATAGCAGTTTTCTTTATATTTTTGCTAAAATTGTGAAAACAATTTGCTAGCCAACTTTTGCTAACAAGATCGATCCTGGACATAAGTGTGGTAACGTGACGTCACACTTCTCCTCTCTATAAACATTGGTATCGCTTGATTACAATGGAACCTCGATGACGTTCGCTAAAACAAGGTTTGGTTATATCGAGGTTCTTTTCCATACATTATACTGTAACTGTGGCAGAAAATGGTTTCGTTATATCGAGGTTCCACTGTACGAAAGAGAAATAAAAATAGGCCTCACCCCTCTCCCCAGGTTTTGACTTTTGTCCCAATTCCCCCCCCCCCCCCCCGCCAATTCTCTTTTGAAGAGGTTTAGTCCTACCCTACTTTAGTAGATTGTTCTACATGTACTTGGCAATTCAACAGTTGATCAACAAATATTAGTGAAGATCGAACAAAATGGTTCTCAATTAATTCCCTGTTTTTTTGGAAAATAGGTGGAGTAATTGCTAGGGGGGTGTATTTGCCCATCATCAAATCTCCCGTTCATCATTCGATTCACAGTCCCCTAATTTTCCGTAAGATCGTCGGGCGTTTACGGGCGGCAATCTTGGATAGGTAAAGCCCTACGCCCGCTCCCTCGGTTCATGTTTACTAGTTAACCGTCCGTTCCGGTAAGCTAGCGCTCTATCCTGTCGATCTTACGAAGAAATAGGGGACTGTGAATAGTCTAACTTCAGATAAAAACCTTTTAATTCAAAATCCATCTCCTGTTGTAGGATAAATTGTTAGGCGGAAATGCTCTAAGATTTCTTGGATTGAAAAGGTCGCAGTTTGACGAAGACCCTGCGGATAAAGCGGATTCAGTAGAAAGCTAATAGTGCAGCGGACTGAATAATTAAATGTTTTTCTGTTAGTTATAGAATGAAGTAACTTTTAAAAGTAAACAGACTATTATGTCTATAAATGCATTTTGACGGAGGTTATTTATAATGTCCTCTGTTTTTCGGCATCTTGGTGTCTTCCTTTTTTAAAAGAGCCTTACCGAAGGAAACAAGTCTAAACTGTGTTAATTATTGAAACAAGTTCTTATTTATTCGTAACTATTCTTGTACTTTATTTTAATGACTATGATATACTTGTGAATACGTTATTTAAAGCGGTTAAGGATGGCTTTACAGTAAAAGTACACTTAAAAAATACGGATTTATATTCAAGTGCAGAACGCAGTTGATGTTAAGCGCATTGTTACTCGATTAGCCTTGTTTCAGTGAAGGTCAGTCTCGATCCTCAAACGGAAGTCATAAAGCAATGAACTACAGTGGAACCCCGTTAATGTGATCACCGTTGGGCCATAAAATCCTATAGTCGTGAAAATGAGGTGGTCGCATTAACGGGTGATTTTCGAAAAAAATAAAAATTAAAATAAGCCTGATTTCTACGTTTGAATCGAGAGAATATGGTCGTAATAACGAGGTGGTCGTATAAACGGGTGTGCGTATGGCGGGGCTCCACTATGTTGCTATTAAAATTAATAAACAGGCGAGCTTGTACCCTAAAATAATTCATGCCAGACCGTACGGAGTGGGTTTGAGTTTTATAAAAAGAGAAACTAAAATTCCCCTTTGGGCGTTCGCATTGCACGACTTAGTTGAGTAGAAAATAGTAATAAAATGTACGAAAATGTTTTTATCCATTTTCCTTGTTTGTTTTGCTATTTAAAAGCTGGTTTACACACAGAGTGTGGCCAGTGTCTCCTCAAATAACAAGCACTTGAGACGACCCATACGATATCACGCTGATCACACAGCCTTCAAAACTTCTTCATTATGATAGACAGTTTAAATAGAGGTTTCGCTGAACGCAACCCTTACGTTTAAAATATGCCATAATCATAGTTATCTATCGCAAGAACCATCCACCCTTTCCTCTCAACTGCTACCGGTACGCCTAGCAAACATATCGAACGCACTCTCCTAAGCTCCAATTACTCCTAGTACAAACATAAGTTTAATTTTAATTTCAGTGGCTGTAACATTGCCAAATGAGAAAGTGATACGTCTTAAGCGTGCAAAGATATAGCTCTGTAAAGTTGCAAAAATTGACGGACGTTTGTACGTGGTGGTGGGGGGAAGAAGCAAGTTTGCGCCCGGCCCCCACCATACCAACGTCTGTAAAATTTGGCGACATTGAGGAGCTATATGTTGGTTAGTTTTCAACAAATCCGACTTTTAGACTTTGCAATTTTTCTAATTTAAAGACGTTCTTTCCATAGGTTTCTTTAGCTTGTCCATGTCAAATATTGAAAATAACGTGGAATAGTTCATCCTGAATTGAAAGAGGTATCATTTTGGGTAGCGCTTCCCCGTTAGGTTATTATAGGGAACCCTCCCAACCCGCCTTCAAAGTATATGATATGGGAGTTTAAAAATATATATAAACACATGAACTCTAGACACGTTAAGGCATGTTTAGCTGGAGCTTAATGGAGCCGCTACTTTTTCTGACAGTAACATATGGTCAACTTGGATTGAAAGCAAAGTTATTTTTTTGGCTTTTTGGCGCACTAAAAAGGAAAGGAATCGGATACCGTTAGAAACACAAAGTCATGATAGCATGCATAAGACTTGCTTTTAAAAGTTGCTTTTTTAAAATTTGTGTTCTGTAATTAATTTTTGGAATGTTCATCTTTTGACCCTGTTTCAGTACCCTAAAGCTGGCTTAAAAACAGAGAATAAGACGATCAAAAAAATTGCCATAAAAGGTAAAAGAAAAAAGCAAAAACAAACAAACAATATAACGGAACAGCTGAGGATTTACTTAAAATATTTACTATAAAATGAATGAGCACGTAGCACTGATTTCAGAAAACGCTGTGTTCTCGTTCAATTCTCACCGCCATGGTTCAGTATTTCGCTGTTTTCCTGATTCTCTCTCTTTTTGGCGGCTCTCTGGTAACAACCACCTCGCCTCAGCAACAAAACGCCACAGAGTTAAAAGACTTATGCCAGGTAAGAAATGCATAAAGATATAAAAAGGAGTACTGCGCCGTAGATTAGGTACACCAAGAAACTGTTTTACCATATATAGTCTCACGTCGTTATGATCATTTACTAAATGGTACCCGTTAACAGTGTATGGCAGTTTATTTAATCGTACTCGCTTCAGCATGATCTTTCCTCGAAAACCTGAAGCCTGTCCATTGTTAACTGTTAATTTTCTCTGATTCCATCCAAGTCTATTAGAGGCGAGATAACGCTTTAAATAGGATTATGATGTCCAAAGTCCATTCCGTGCCTCGAAAACAAGGAGACGGCCAGTGTTACAGACTTTTTTCATTTTGGTGTGGAATCCTTGTTTGCGAGGGAGCTACGGGCGTGTATGAACGAAATTATCCTTTCATTTCCAAAAGAGAATTAATCTAAGTAAAAATGACATGCATAAATTCTTAGAGACAAGGTCCTCGAACTGGTTTGGATTTTAGAGGCCAAGTCTGAAAACGGGTGTAAAAAATGACGTGTCTTGGTCTGAAATAGAGTCAGGATTTGGGGAACCGGGCGGCACATCCCCACCAAGAATCCAGCCCCCCCCCCCAAGTTATTAAGATCCCGTGTCGTCTTCCTCTGCGCTAATTACAAGTCATCTTTACTTTCAGCGATCTATGCTGGGTTTCCCTGGTATTCCAGGATCAAATGGTATACCGGGAGTCCCGGGGCCACACGGACCTCAGGGAAGGGAAGGTGTAAAAGGAAAAATCGGTGATAAAGGATCACAAGGAATGCCGGGTCCAAGAGGAGACAGAGGGCACGAAGGAACCCCTGGGAAGAGTGGACCCCGAGGAATTAAGGGAATGAAAGGTGAACAGGGACTTGTGGGAATGAAAGGAGAGCGAGGCATTGTGGGAATAAAAGGAGTGCGCGGAGCTGGGGGAATGAAAGGAGAGCGAGGCATTGCGGGAATGAAAGGAGTGCGCGGAGCTGTCGGAATGAAAGGAGAGCGAGGCTTTGTGGGAAATCAGGGAAGGAAAGGAGAAAAAGGAGAGAAAGGAGAAAGCGCCAAAGCAAGTCAAGCAAGTGTAGTACCACAAACCAACTGGAAACAATGTGTGTGGAAATCAGGCACCAACACTGATAACGGAAAGATTAAGGTACATAGAATAAGAATCATAAAACACTCCTAAGAAAATTCATTCCTTTTTAAATTAAAATGTTTCAAAGAAGAAAGTCTCCCCTCTCACTCACTGTTTGCCAAAATATTACATAAATAACTAAGTTACATTTCTCTCTACTTTGGTTCTTTTTTGAACGAAAAAAGAAAACCATCGTGGGTGATAAAATGATTCCTGACCATATGGATAAGGACAACGAAAATTGAAGCTATTACAGAGTTTTTCAAAATTAGGAAGTAATCATGACTGTAGTTGTTAGTATCAATCATTACGACACGGTTGCTCGCCTTACTACAATATGTTTGATTTGTCTGATTTTATTCCAGGACTGTGCATTTAACAAACTGCAGTCTAATTCAGCGCTCAGAGTCTCATTCCAGGGAAACACAGAAGTCTATGGTGATTATGTGTGTAACCGATGGTATTTCAAGTTCAATGGAAACGAATGTAGTGGACCAATGACGATTGAGGCTATCGTTTTCAACAACTGGTCATCTGGGGACCATAAACTACTGCATCATCGGTCATTTGAGGGGTACTGTGAAAACATTCCACAAGGCGCGGTTAGAGTGGAATTATGGGTAGGAAAATGTCGGGCCTACACCTTGGGTAATGCTGACACTGGGTGGAATTCAGTGTCCCGGATAATGATTGAAGAAGTATCTAGGCCCCAGTCCTAATAAGGGAAGTCTTTAACTTTGGGGCTGTTTTAGTTTCCTTAGAATAGCATTCTACAAATATAGACTGTAAAGCGCAAGGTGGGAAAGTATTGTTTTTGGTTATTTTGTTTTTAGCCCTTTGTGGCTACTTTCGTCCTATCAGATTGTCAATAGTAAACCCTTATAACAGTATCAAGATTTTGTATCATTATGTCGGCATGTTAGTCCTGTGCAGCAGCTCTTTGTTTTGTTACGCAGCGCTTCTTTAGCTTGTTTGTGGGGAGGCACCTTTCGGGACGACACAATAACCAGTTGAGCGCGTAGGGAATTTGTCTCCCATGCAGCCGTTTTTTTCTTGTCACGCACCACTACTTCTTGTTGCTTGACGAGACAAAATGGCTGTGAAAAAAAAGGGCGATTGATTGGCAATACTTTTTGTAGGTGATATGGTATGGATGCAAAATACATATCACTACAGCTTCAGGGAAACCCATTCTCTCTTGGGTTACCATGTATACCATGGGATTGTCGGTCGTTTCTTAAGTCTATAAATATGCAGCCAAAGTAAAGGTCGTGATATAATCTTTCATCTCCACGAAACAAAATCTGTTTAAGAGGTAACCTTTGCATTTAAAATCTTTTCGTCTGGAAAATCTTTAATTAAATCCGAAAGTGAAAACGATTTAATTAAATCGTGCGTAATGAAATCACACCGCACGATTCCTTTTGTAGCCAAAACACTTCGAGGGAAGACCATTATTAAAAACGGATAAGCATTCGAGGATTAAAATCGCACCTTGTACAATTTATATCAATTAGCTAGGAAGATGAATATAATTATAGGATAACTTGATTAACTCTAGCACGCGTGGCTGGCGTTCAAAAGAGAAGGGAAGAGGATTTAGGCGAGGTAGAAGGAAGGAGAGGAACGAGTGACCCTTTCTCTTTTCTCGCGCCCCCTAAAGTGCTTCTTCTTTTTCGCACCCAAAACATCCCTTCCCTTCCCTACCAAGTACGTGCCATTGCGGAAAAAAAAGGAATGTTTTTACTCGTAACATTGAGATTCTTGTGAAACCTTCCTATTACTTAATTAAATGGCATCTTTGTTATATTTCTTGTGGCAGTGCAGTTTGCTTCGAAATGTCATTAAATCCTTTAATTAATGAAAGACAATGTCTTAGAGTATTTACAAATCTTGTCCATTATTTTTCCTAGCAAATAAGATTGAACTCATTATACCTGCTCCTTAACAGAGAATTTCCCGTACAGTCTCACAATATCCTCTCTCTGTAGTCTGTCGTATCCAATGCAGCTATTTGCAGACTTGTCTGTTCGAGTGCGTTTATTAATAAAGACGTACCCAGTTATCAGGGTTTTTCAACTTAGAAAATGAATGATGGGCGGGGTGGGGGGGGCGTCACACAATCATTTGGGTACCTAAATAACCAGTGTTGTATGCCCGGGTAGGGATACCGTATGGGTTTACCCGGTAGGAGAAACACATGCAGAAAGTTAGTCTTAGTAAGAGCTTCCGTAAAGAGATTACAGTTTTCTTTTATTTAGCAAGGCTTTTATTGCTTTGTAAGTCTTCATATAAAGTGTACCATAAATTTCACGACTTTATATTTTTTCTATGTTTTGGATTTTTTCTTAGAAAATATTTACTCTTTTGTCTTAGCCTGAGCACAACATAGCCCTTACAGAGCAATGTTTTCTTCCATCCTAACCGAAAAAAACGTTTCCTCGATGTTTCAGCCGAAGGTGAACTAATAAAGGGTTAGAATAGCCATTAAACATTGCACTTATGATAAAAGAGTACCAACGTTTAAATCTGGGTGGGAGGAAACCTGTGGAAGATGCCGATTCAATAAGTTTTTGGTATAACATAGCGGCCTTTGCCTAGTGTAATATACCTAAAATGAAGAAGGGGGAGGGGGGAGGTGGGGAGGCCGGGGGTACTCAACAAAGTTTTATACGGGTCCTTAGGTCCGACCCCGTACCCTTTTATACACCATTTTTTACCATAAAGGAACCCCTTTCATATACCTTCTTTAGAACTTTGCATTCCTTTTGACTGCTGTAAATGTACTGTCCTTTGAATGGGAATCAATTACAAAAATTAAACGTTTTCTCGACTTTATAAAGCCATAAAATCCATCCGTCAGCCCTTTTGGGCCCTTTAACAGACTCAAATGACAGATTCCCTACCCTTTCATAAACCTGAAGCCTGAAAAAGATACCCCCCTTTTGGGCGGAGCCTGCCCGTATAGGCCAGTATAGGGAATACCACCACCGGGAGCCTAGGCATCCCACCAGGTGACTTATAAACCCAAGGCTTGTATCAGTAGAAACACATGTATAATACATGGTGACCATTGCGTGCAAACCGCCTTCTACAATAACAAGAAGGCGTAACTGTCACAGAATTCCATTACTCTGTGGCCTACCCCAAAACTATCGTTTAAAGATCTATAATAAGTAAATTGGACCGTTCTAAATGAACAGAGATGACAGCAGTTTGCCCAAGTCACGTACTTGATGATGTCATCACCTTTCATCCCGAGATATAACAAAACTGAATCGTTGGCCAAATTAAATTTTCCGCTAACATTAACGTTTGGTACCGCTATACATTCAGACGCCATTTTATTGCGTTTCGAAGTGAACAGGTGCACAGCTATCTTCCCAAAAGGCGGTAAATAATGGTGGAGATAACCGCGACGCAATGAGCGTCAATTACTATCTGGCGCTATGCACCGACCCTAAAGAGAGGTAGATGCCATTTTCAGTGGCTAGCTATACTAGCACTTTTCGCGTGTTTCAATTGGCCCCTGTAACTTCCGAGGGTCTTACCGTAAATGCTCAAATTAGCGCCCAGCTTCAAATAAGCGCCCCGCTTCGAATTAGCGCCCCTCCTAAGGCTCAAAATTTGTAATAAGCGCCCCCCCCCCCCTCCCCCTCCCCCGAGAAAAAATGAGTTTCGGTACTAGGTACGATATACAAAGTACGAGACGTATATGGTCTATACTGTTATTTGAATGAAATGTGACATTGTTAAATAGTATAGAAAGTAATGTCCTTTTAAAGTCGTACGGGTTTACTCTCATTTCCTTGATAGAAATATCCATGTGAGCACATAGCTGCTTCACTTTATTAAGTTCCTCGTAAAACTTTGCTCCCAAAAAAGTCTTAAGAACGTTTCGAGTTCGCAAAGTAGTTTTCTATAAGGTTTTTGAATTTTTATGTTGCAGTTTGGTTTTAAGTAGAAATAAAGATAGTGTCATTTTGAGGCTAAAAATTGATAAACGAAATAGGCGCCCCCTTCGAATTAGCACCCCCTTGCCTTAGAAAATTAAATAAGCGCGCCGGGCGCTAATTCGAGCATTTACGGTATATCCAAGGAGGCTTAAAATCGGAAGAGAAAATGAATTTTTAAACACGCTATAGCGGTTCTGATCAAAATACAATTTGCATTTACTAGTTTTATATTAAGCTTCAAAACTTCATTGATAATAAATAGATTTCACAGGGAGCTTATAATTGATGCTAGAAGGGGGCTTATATTCGGGGAGACGTATAATAGCATGTATAGAAAGATTGGTCTATAATTGGGGGCCTTATAAGTGGCGGGGGAGCTTATAATCGGCTGTTACGGTATGTGAGTTTTTTTAGCCAGGCTCCTTAATGTAATGACTGACCGGGTTCAAGTATTATAAGAAGAGACCTCGTCTTTGGGCGTTCGAATTGCACGACTTAGTTGACTAGAAAATAGGAATGAAATGCATTAAAAAGTTTTATCCATTCTCATTTCTTGTTCTGCTATTTTAAGGCTGGTTTACAGGCAGCGATTGTGGGCCGATTTCAATAGAAAATATATGACGATGCAACAGATCATTTTAATCTATCTGATTTTTGACCGGTTTATATTTTTTCGTTTTTCTTGCGAACTGGGTCACCAATTGGATACTCCCATGTCCGCAGGGAATCAACAATATAATAATGGCCCTGATTGGCTACATCGAACAACTTCACTGCGTGTATCCAATCGGTGACCCAGTTCAAATTCTGAACTGATTTCTCGCAAGGAAATGAGGTTGCGTACTCCTGTGACCAGAGGTTTTTTTTTTTTCTCCTCGGCGCTTTGCGCCTCGTTAACGCGGCTTCGCCGCGAACCATCAGTATCGATAAGAAAAAAAATATCCTCTGGAACCCAGGGTATGGCAGTGGTAGCGCAGCGATAGTTTCTATTATGTTATCAGTTAGCCTGAATTTTAGCCGGCCGCCCGCAAACTCCTCTTGCGACTCGAGGAGACGTCTGAAATATCATGTTGACTGTAAACAGTATAGAAACTACTACGAATGTGAGTATTGTCCACTAAAATCCAAAGACAGGAGCACCTATACTCTTCTTAACTTCACAGAGCCGCGTAGTCTGTAAGTAATTCATGTCAACCTCAAGTGAAGCAAAGCACTCCAAGTAAGCAAATGCCGGTTGATATATATAAGGAGACTATATGTCGGATTGAAATGAGCTGCTTACCGACTTGGCTTGACATGAAATACTGCAGCGACATTTCAGACCATTGCAGAACCGTAAATGGTTAACCGCCAAATGATTAATTTATCGCAAACAATTACACGAGGTGACTGTGTGAGGAAAGCTTGAAAACCCCCCTCCTCGCAACCCATTTTAATATATTTTGAATTTAGAAGCAAGCCTTCACTCATTATTGTCATTTGCACGAACCCTCACTCGCCCAACAAATTTTAATTTGTTGCGACAAAAAATTGTTTTCTCATACTCAGAGAGGATACCAGTTCCTTTTTTTGATTATTTCATTATTTTTCGTTTTTTTTTTTTTTTTTTTTTTTTTTTTTATTTTAGGTTATTATTAATTTTTACAAAAATTATTTTATTATTTTCATTTTATTATATATTTTTTTTCATGAAAATAATTTTTATTTTTTCATGTTCCGGAATGTTCCGGAATGTTCCGGAATGTTCCATGTTCCTGGTTTTA